CAGTCTTGATCTCAATAAAAGTGCGGGCCCTGATGGCATCCCTCCGATTTTGTTGAGGAAAAGCTGTGATGCGTTGTCTGTTCCCCTTAGTCAAATTTTCCAGAAATCCTTTTTTCTGGGTATTTTTCCAGATATATGGAAATTTTCCAGTCTAATTCCAATTCTAAAGTCAGGTGATAAATCTAATATTAAAAACTATAGGGGTATATCTATTATATCCACAATTCCCAAATTATTTGAATCAATTCTTACTGATGAAATAGATGCTTCCTTCAAATCTTATATCTCCCCCTTTCAGCATGGTTTTTATCAGGGGCGTTCTGCCGCTACTAACCTTTGTTGTTTCCAGGACTATCTATTAACCTCTGTGGAAGCTGGGCACCAGGTGGATGCAATTTACACTGATCTGTCTAAGGCCTTTGATAGTGTCTCTCATCAACTGCTTTTAAAAAAACTCTCCGAAATAGGTATTGCTGGTAACTATCTCAATTGGATAAAATCATACCTAACTCATCGCTCCCAACAAGTTTCTATTCATAATCTTACATCACGGAAAGTATTAGTTTCATCAGGCGTTCCGCAAGGATCACACCTTGGTCCTGTCCTGTTCTCACTTTTTATTAACGACGTAACTTCCTGCTTTTTAAATAGTACTTGTCTTCTATATGCAGATGACTTGAAATTTTTCAGCACAGTCACACATAACACTACTGCCCTTCAAGGTGATCTAGAGAGACTAAACGAGTGGTGCAAGGTGAACCATCTCTCATTAAATACCAGTAAATGCAAGACCATCCAGTTCACTAGAGCGTTAACCCCTTCTCTAAATCAATACAAAATCGGTAATACTGTACTGCAAAATGTCACATCTGTGAATGATCTAGGGGTGATATTTGATATGGAACTGTCCTTTCGAGAACATATTGATTCCATTATCTGTAAAGCTTTCCGGATGCTAGGCTTTATTAAAAGAAATACTCAACATATGTATGATACTAAAGCAATCTTAACATTATTTAACAGCCTTGTTAGAAGCATTCTTGAATATTGCTCTGTTGTATGGCATCCTAATTACACCTGCCACATAGAGAGGATAGAACGAGTCCAGCGTAAATTCACTAACTATTTGCTGTTTAAACACCACTTTCCCTACCAAAACGTTGGTTACGAAAGTAGACTGCTTTTATGTGGTATGCAAAGCCTAGAAATCAGAAGAAGACATGCATTAGTTCTGTTTCTGTTTAAATTAATTAACGGTAAGATTGACTGTAGCGCCCTTTTACACTTAATTAGCTTTTTGGCACCTACTCGACGTACACGTCATACTTCATTGTTTTTCATCAGAAGACATAGAACCAACTATGGACAAAGAGCATTTATTGACCGTATGTGCCACATTTACAATAAGCTTTACTCCGACTGTGACCTAATTAACACAACGTTGTATGCGCTAAAGAGTAATTTGAAACTGTCTGAATAATTATTTTTTGTTTTTTTTTTTTTAGCTTTAATATTTATGTATGCGATTTTGTGAATGTGATATTTTTGTGTAGGTATTCTACATACATGTATTAATTGTTATATATTTTTTTTTAACTCTGTACCATTTAGAATAATAATTCTGTAGTGTACCTATTTGAATAAATAAAATAAAATAAAATAAATAAATAAAAATAAAAATTTGAAATGTATACGTCGTCGGGACTAGACCAATTAGCTTGTGTCGAAGTTTTTTTTTGTTATACAGCCAACGAACAAACCGACACACAGAATTTCGAAGTGAACGCACATCTTAGTGACACTTAAAATTGACACCACCTAACCTAACATTCGTTGTTGTTGTTGTTGTTGTTGTTGTTGTTGTTGTTGTTTTTTTCTCTATTTCTTTTGTCTTTGCCATTTGGTTTAATTTTATTATTAATATGAGTTTGTTAGCTGGATTCATAAAAGCTGATTTAAGTGTTTTACTCATTTTAAACCAAGATATGACTACTACATTTTTTTAACAATACTCAGTTTATAAGTGCCAAAATTAAAGCAAGTTAAGATAGAAAGAAAGGTATGTAAAACTTTATTATTTGTTTTAATAATAGTTACAGTTTATATGGGGTAATACACCTTATAGCAAAAAAAAATATTTATCTCAGGCCATTAGGATTATCGAATATTAACAGGTTTTTTTTTTTCAAAAATATACCTTTTACCACCCTGTTATATTTTGGAATACCCTCATTTAGATGTATAAGAAAAAAATATTTTTCCCATAATATATCAATGTACACTGATATCCAAAAATATAACACTAGAAACTGAAAGGATATATCTATACCTTGAGAGAGCGACGTTTAAAGTTTTGCTGCCGGTAGACATTAAATTATTTCAGTAAGTAAAAACATAATTACGTATTAAGTACCTGATAAATAGCAAATTTGTTATTGTATAAAGTAAGTTTGTTTTGCTTAAATTTAGATTATCAAAAACAGGACTCTTATAGATTCTTAATCATTAAAATTTATCATGTTTACCTCAAAAATTAAAACTAAATAACATCTAAAAATGTATTTACGAGGGTAGGGTGCAAGTATTTACTGTAATACTGTTTTTATTTGTTTGAAAATTACCTACTTGCTACATATCGTTGTAATTTAAGTACATTTTTGTATATTCAAACTACTTTTTGTAATGGTACATACACTATTTTACATTTATTGTACATATGTCTAATGTTTACATAGATAAATCTATGATAATATTTCTAAATTGAAATTAGAACACAAATATGTTTGTTTTATGAAATAATTTGAAACACAGAAAAATAATAAAAATTAGTAAAAATATCTGATAATTAGGCCAAATGTTTAGAGTAGGGCTCTTAAAAATACTAAAAAATTATTCACTTTATTAAATAATGTTTTATTTTTAGATCTGCCAAGCAAGAATATGGAGATAATGTATTTTCCATGTACAACTTAAAAGAGAAGGAGATACTTGCACAGTAAAGGAACAAATTACACCTGAACATAAAGTACGGCAAAAACCTTATGATGTGGTTGTTGTAATTAACAAAAATGAAATTTGTTTGTAATATTTATTACGCTTTTTTGTTTTTATATCACACATAATAAACAGTGTATAAGGCCCTTTATTCCTATAAATATTTTTTTCTAATTTTGACTTATAAAGAAACATTTTTTGTAATCGCAGTAAGTGTTAAAATGATCTAGAAATAGATTTTGTTAGTGAACCTAGTAATAATTATGAAGCCAAAGAATGCTGCAGAGCACCTATGAAATTTTGAGTTAAAACCTATGCCATATTTTTAGAGCTATTTTTATACCCTTTTCAAAAATTTTATGCTCTTCGTTTTCTGCAAAACTCAAAATGCTCTGATAGCTTCGAACGAAGTCAGCAGAGTACCTCTGTTTTTTAAAGTTTTTTCTGTAAAAACAGCAACACCATATTTTTGTGCACTTTTCGCAAAAAAAATGATATTTTTAAAAAATACATGGTGCTTGCTAACCTTCGAAAGAAGCCAGCAGAGCAATTCAGTTTTTTAAAGTTTTTTTCTAAAAACCACACTCCATTTTTAGGATATTTTTAGACTCTTAAAACTTTACTAAAAAAATTGCTATTTTTAAATAATACAGGGTACTTTGTTAGAACAAAGTCAGCAAGACATTTCAGTTTTTTAATTTGTTTTTTCATATATAAAAACAACTACTTATGACACATGTTTAAAAATAACTACTTATGACACATGTTTAGGCTATTTAAAATCCTAAAAATGTGGTAAGTATATTTGTTTTCAGAAAAAAAACTTTGAAGTCAGCATAGAGATAGCCAAATATCGATAGTTATAACTATCGATGGTACCGATAGTTTTCTGAAGAACTATCGATACTATCGATAATATAATTAACCTATAAATATGACAAAAAAGAAGAAAATATTCAAATTTATAAAATTTATTAATTAAAAAATGGAAGCTTTCACTTTTCCAGGGTATATAAAATATAAACATTAAGGGTGGATTCATAAACTACGTTCAGTTCGCGCTCAGTTCGAGTTGGCAAGACATAACCACAAATTCCACAAAATAAAATTATATTTTGGTGTTATTTTTGTTTTAATTATATTTGTAGATGGTGTTATAAAATAATTATGAATCAGTTATAATTTCTTATCCAAAACATACTTACTGTGTCATTCTGCTCTGTTTATGTTGAACTAGAACTGAGCGTGAACTGAACGTAGTTTATGAATCCACCGTTATTAAATATAAAAAATAAATAAACAGCAACTAAAAATTGCACTTTTCATTCCAATGCACTTTAACTTTAATATATGGAGTGTTAAATATAAAGGTATTTTTCGTAACATAAACAAACATGAATGTTTATGATAGATTATTTGGACGTCTATATACGTCTAAATAACAATCTTATCATAAATGTTTATGCTGGTTTATGCCGCGAAAAATACCTTATTTAAAGGGATAATAGTATGGACCAAAATAAACAAAAAAGTCTTAATAAACATGAGTAACAGTTTCAGAGCTGTGGTAGGTTATTTTTTTTTTTTAAACATTTAATTACATTTGTTTATTACTTATTTATTATGCACAAATAAAAGAAGTTTGAAACAAAAAACAAATTTAGATAAAATGTTTAAAGTGCACTCCTTCCATTTTCATGCATCTTTTTCGGAAGGATATTCGAACTATTATTAGCTCGAATTTGTTGGCAGTTTTTATTAATTTGTTGTTGCAGCTCTTCAAGGCTATTTCACAAAAATCACCTGACTGTGATATGAAAATGCAAGTTTTCACAATATAAAAAAGGAAGTAGAAGAAGAGTAACCTTCCACATCTCCAAAACCATTACTTTGCGGACCTATCTTTATCAAGACTTTTATTTTGGTCCATTCTGTTACCTTTATAAATATTTTACACTCTTTTTTAACACCCTGTATATATAAACCAGTTTTCCTAAATTAAAATATTAATTTTTATTTAGAAAAACATGGTTAGCATTGATAAATAAAACCATGTCGACATTTTTTGGTTTTAACCGACTTCTTCTTGTGGACAGTAGTTGCCCAGATTTAGAGAACAACCTCTCACTAGGTACTGACGTGGCTGGTACAGATAGGTATTTTAAAGCTAATTCCTTCAGAATAGTGTTATTCGTTTCTAACCAATATGTTAGTGGATTTTCTTTAAAATCGATAGTTTCTTCCTCCATATACTGTCTGACAGCAATGACTGCTTTGGAACTTGGAGTGATGATTTTTTTATTTAATTCTCTTTTCTTATTTAAAAATTTAAATAAATCAACTTTTTGTTTTTTAATTTCAGGCTCTGCCAAATTGGAAGCTAATGTCGAATGTTCATTATTTGTGCTAGATTCCCTGGTAGTAGATTCTGATTCTAAAGGTGATATATTAGTTTGGGCTAATTTCTGTAAATCAACTTGGGCACTTAGAGAATTTTCAGAGCTTCTAAAACCATTCTTCTTAAAGCGTGGATCAATAATTGTAGATATTTTTGGTATTAATTTATTTTCATATGCAGACAATCTTTTATTTACTGAAATTAAAATTTGGGAATGTAGTTCTATTCCTACAAATGTCTTTAGCTCTTGTCTAATATCATTTAAAGTATGATAAATTCCTGTTATGATGAGAATTATCAAAGAAATTGTCACATATGAGCCTGATATTTGTTGTGTCGCAACTTCAAAAGGTGCAAGAATTTTAATAACTTCAACTATAATTTCTTTTTCTTCCCTTGCTAAAATCTCAGGTGCTTCTTGAGAATGAAGTTGAGCCATTGTTAAAGAATCACCAACGTCTATAACACGTTTTAACATATAGTAAGTGCTGTTCCATCGAGTTGATATATCCTGCAATAATTTTAATTTTGATGAGTTTCTATTCTCCTGTTCATTTTTTAGTAAATCTGTAGCCTTAGAACTTTTTTTAAAGAAAGCTACAATATTTTTGACAGTTTTTAAAAGTTCTTTAATGCATTCAGTTTTTTCTAAAACATCTTGTACTACAAGATTGATTGTATGAGCAAAGCACCCGATATGTGGCTTTTTTAAAATATTGCACATAGCTGTCATGTTGGCTGCATTGTCAGTTATAATGCAAATAACCTTATCACATAACTTCCACTCCTGAAGAATTTCCTGTAATAAATGACAAAATGTTGTTTTATTAATAGAAGTCATTGAGGTAATTTTACTTACTTCAATTATGTTCGCAAGATTTGCAGCCGTGTGACTTCCCTCTATTTTTTTTGTTTCTAAGATACATGACTGTAGATCTGAATTTATGAAGTGACAGGTAAGTGTCAAGTATGATTCTGTGGTGAATGTACACGTCCAGGCATCTGTGGTAAGCGCAACATATGATACTTCATCAATTATTTTTTGTAGTTTTAATTTTAACGAATCGTAGAGTTCTGGGACCATATTTCTTTTTAAAGTTGTACAGGCTGGCAATTTATACCTAGGATCAATTTTATTGCAAAACATTTTAAATCCGGGATCATTCACAATGTTAAATGGTTGCATGTCCATGCATATCATTTTAACTAAGCATTGATCTAGCTCTCTTTGACGTAGATCTCCAGGATTATAATAATTTTTTATTTCCATAAACTTTTTGAGGGTATGTTGTTTTATTTTTTTGAGATCAGGAGAAGTATCAGACTCAGAACTGTTTTGTCCTAAAAAAAGTAATAATTTTGGGGTATTTATGTCAAATAAATTTTGAAAATAATTTTTTTATTCCTTATATTAAAAGCACTTGTTGAGTAATGTTGAGAAATATTAGGTTTTAACTAATTACCTGGTAATTTAGAAGATCTGATTTTATCACGTTTATTTCCTAATTCGCATCTTTTGATACCATGAACCCTGTTGAGGTGGTCCATTAGATTCGAGGTATTCCCTGAAGTTTTATAAACTTTTCGGCATTTTATACAAGTAGCCATAGGTCTACCAATCTCATCTCTTGTAAAATAAGTCCAAATATACGACTGTTGTCGTTTTACCATCTTATATTTTTAATAAATTTCCATGCACAGACAAATAAAGACTATGGAGGAAGAAGGATGAACCATGGATAAAATAAACACATCAATAATTCAAAATCAACCGTTCGAAATATAAATTTTATAGGTTATATTTTTCTTCTTTTTCCGTCATATCTCGAACTTCGATAGCATAACGATAGTTAAAATTACTATCGATACTATCGATAGTGAATTTGAAAATAAAACTATCGATACTATCGATAGTGCTATCGATATTTGGCCACCTCTAAGTCAGCAAGGAAGTGCGAATTTCTAATATTTTATAATATTGTAGGAGCCAAAAAACGTGGTGTGGTTTAAAAAAAAAACTGGAGTGCTCTGCTGGATTCGTTTGAAGCTAACAAAGCATCCCATAATTTTTTATTTTGTGATACTCAATAGCCTAAGAATAGCTCAAAATGAGACATAGCTGTTTAACAAAAAAAGGTACTTTTAAAATTAGCAGTTTTTTTTTCAAAAAGCACTATAATATTTCAAAAATGTGAAAATGTGGTAAGATTGTTTTTTTTTAAAGTTTTGAAAATCCGAACTTCTTTACTGGGTTCATTCAAAGCTAGTAAAGTTCTGCTAGTCTTGGTACATAAAATAAGTCATTTTGTAGCTGGTTATATAGTTATTTTGTAACTGCATATCTAACCCTTTTATTTTTTCAGGTGGTTTTAAACATGTAGCTTTTTTGCTGTGGCTTCATAGAAGAAGTGAGGAACATTCTGTAACATCTACTCAGTGTTATTAGAAAGGCTCTAATTTATCAAATTCGTAAATATTGATGTAGACTTGGCTAGATTGTTAAAGAAACCTCTTCATCCACTACAGGAAAATAAATCAGTAGTGAAACATGTTTTGAGTATGTTTCCTGAAAATCAGGGCAGCATGTTTATGTTATTGCAACCGAGAAATAATAACCCTTTTATTCACTGCCTTTTGGTAAATTTTTTGGAAAACCACAAAAATAATGCATCTGTAGAACATTTCTTCAAAAGCTAAAATTACTGCTTCGATGATCAAAGATGTAGAATGTAACACCAGAAGTCGGTATCAATCGAAGCAATGGTTTGAGATGAGATTTGGTAGAATAACTGCTTCAGTTATATATGAAGCAGCAAAATGCAAAACATTTAACAGATCACTGACGGAACGAATTTTGGGAGCCTAACAACCATTTGAAACAGCTGCTACAATAAGAGGGAAACTGCTTGAAGCTAAAGTAATACAAGCTGTAGAAATTAAAAAAAAATTAAAATGTCACCCTGGACTTCTTTTAAAAAAGGAACATTTAATTTTTAAGGCATCTCCTGATGGTATTACATCAGAATATGTAATCGAGGTAAAATGTCTATCAAAGGACAGCACTGTGAGGAATTATGTAAAAACAAGATTTATTATCAAATTCAACTTCAAATGTATTTTGCTAATTATCAAAAAGTTTTATTTTGCATTGCTTTTCGCACATTTGAAGCAAATAATGAGGTAGAAATAATTGAGGTTGAATTTGATAATTAATCTTTGGAAGACATTCTAAATTGTGTAACTACGTTCAGGAAAGAAGCTATTTTCAAATGTTTAATGGCTAGTTATTCTTTGTATTATTTGTATATATACTTTTTATTTGTAAATAAAATGTGTTTAACTTAATTTTTCTTATTTAAGTAGTTCTATATTCTTAAGATTTGTATACATATTTTTTATTTGTAAATAAAGTGTTTTTTAATTCATATTTTTTTATTTAAGTACTTTTATATTCTTAGGATTTGTATACATATTTTTTATTTGTAAATAAATTGTTTTTTACTTCATTTTTCTCATTTTTTATTGAAAGGTTAATAAATAAAATTTTCACAATTTTTACATTTTTGTTTGTAAACAATAATTGAAGAGTTTTTCTTAAAAATCACCAATGTTAATAATAATAACAAGTCAATATTATTCTTTCTCCTTTTTTAAAGCTACTATCAATAAAGGTATTACTTTAGCTTGACCTACGATGAATTTTTACTTTCCTATCTGTATACAGATATAAGGAAAGTATAGGAATCATGATTTTATTCGACCTCGAGTTTCCGACGGATTTTTACGTTTTGAGGTCCCCTGAATCCGTTTTAACTATTTTCGCGATGATGTCTGTGTGTGTGTGTGTGTGTGTGTGTGTGTGTGTGTGTGTGTGTGTGTGTGTGTGTATGTGTGTGTGTGTGTGTGTGTGTGTGTGTGTGTGTGTGTGTATGTGTGTGTGTGTGTGTGTGTGTGTGTGTGTGTGTGTGTGTGTCTGTGTGTGTGTGTGTGTGTGTGTGTGTGTGTGTGTGTGTGTGTGTGTGTGTGTGTGTGTGTGTGTGTGTGTGTGTCTGTAGATCGCATAAGTCATGAACCGATACACAGAAAAACACTAAATTTTAAACTTAAGCTTTATTCCAGCGTCTAATGAACTGATTAGATTTTGGGCAGAGTCGGAACATCTGGGGGGTACTTTATAGGTGGTCATTTTTATATTTTATGGAATATATCTGTTATATACGTTTAGAGAAGAAAATTCTTCAAATAAAACTTACTTCTAATATAATTATCTATAATTTTTGTTCTATACAAAATTTTCCTAAAATGGTCCGTATTCGAGAAATTTGACAAAATGTAAAAAAAATATTTTTTTTATAAAAATTGTTTAAATAAAAGTTGTTTGTATAATAATTCTCTATAATTTTTATTCTATACATAATTTCTCTAAAATGAACCGTATTCGAGATATTTGAGAAAATGTGTAAATTTCGAATTTTGAAGAAAACTCAAAAACGGATAAAGAAAAAAACATTAAATTTTAAACTTAAGGTTTATTTCGGCCTGACGTGAAATGATTAGATTTTGGACAAAGTCGGAACATCTGGGGGGTACTTTATGGGATGCCGTTTTTATATTTTATGGAATATATCTGTTATTTATGTTTGGAGAAGAAAATTGTTCAAATAAAAGTTACTTCTAATATTATTATCTATAATTTTTGTTTTATGTCAAAATTTTCTGAAATGGTCCGTATTCGAGAAATTTGACAAAATGTGCAAAATTCTGATTTTTATGAAAATTGTTGAACTAAAAGTTGTTTGCGATATCGATCTCTATAATTTTTGTTTATACATGATTTTTCTAAAATGGACCGTAATGAAAAAGTGCTAAATTTAAATTTTTCAGGATTTTCGTTTTCAATGAATATCGATAGAAAAATGTTTCGAGGTAGATGTATGTGGACAATGTATATATTTAGTTTATCCTCTAAACATTTATAGAGATGCTGCAATAGGTTGTACAAAATTACCGGAAAAAGCCTATAATAACTAGATAGGAAAGTCATGTGTTGGACACATCAGATTTTTAATTTTGTGCTATATTTACTTGGGCGGATGTAATTTCGGCCGGAAAAAGGACAGGTACCTAAAGGGGATATGTAATTTCGGCAGGAGGTTTAAGAGTTCGTTCTTATCGTATAGGTATTTTCGGCCGGAAGGAGCAGGTAAAATAAAATAAGATCTAGAATTGCTATAACATTCTTTATTAAACCCAAATCAAAGACACTATTACTTAAAAACTAGAGCTAAAAACATACATTACATTTTTACGAACTTTAATATGATACAGTTTTAACAAAATTAAATCTAGAAATTTTTCCAGACCGAAGCATATTTATCATATTTTCAATAAATTTTAATTTATTTCTGACTTGCTTGTCTTTTATTTTTGCTGTAATATTTAAACTTTTTATTTTTAAATATGAATCGATCTGGAATTCTTTTAACTTTTCTATAAAAATAAATATTGAAGGGTGGCAAGAATAAAATGAAGAATTCAATTTAGAATGGAATGATTCACAAGCGTTTGTGGTTCGTTTTATAGATGGATTTTCGTCTGCCCATATATTTGGTGGAAAATCGGAATCAGGTGCTATATAATATTGTAATAGATAGTCTGCGTATTTATCCAACAGTTCATTATTTGGTTTGCAAGACATTAAATCAAATATAAAACAATCCTCAATATCGGACGGTTCTAAATAAGTAAGCCCAAAAGTGTGAATAAGCCATTTACTTTCTTCAGAGTTTTTGTCTTTATACGGGGTGAGTCATGAGGAACCTTACAGACTTCTATCATATGTGGAGTCCCTTAAGGGGTATATCATATGAGCATTCAAAAGTGGCAACTCCCCTTCGTTATTAATATAGTATGTGAATTTTGACCAAACTTTATATGGCCGTAAAATCTACAAGGATTACTAGATTTCTTTAATTTTTTGTTGGAGCTTTACACTGGTGTCTATCATTTAATTAATATCCTCAAAAGTTAAAAATTCCAGGATTGGCTTAGGAAAAATTAATCTCGACGATTCATATCAAAAAGTTCGCCCTGTATAAGATTTTTTTAAATTATAATAAGATATTTTTAAAGAACATAGATAGGCAATCAAAACTGTGTATGTGACATTTTTGTCACATTTTCTTTAATTTTTTTATTAAGTTTTGATTTTGAGCAAAACTGAAAAATTAAATTAAGGGGTCACATTATAATGTTATAACTTAAAGAAAACATTGTTAATGGTATACATTTGAACTAAAACGAGTCTAACATAAGCCTTTAGTGCCTACACCGTTAATATCATTTTATTTATTTCCAGGCCTAGTTATAAATTTTTAATTCATTTTTAAACAAAAATCACCCTGTACATTTTTGGAGACTCAAATAAATTAAACAGAAGTTCATATGTATTTATTAGAAATATTTTATTTCGTTTAAATTTCATCAACAAACAATAAATAAATTTTAACGAATTAGAATAACGAACAACTAAGAAATTAAAAAAAAAA